AAGCAGCACTCTGGTGTGAGGGTCGTCTTCACTGCCATCCCACACCGTCCCTCACTCTCGGGCCACGGCTCTGGGGCAGGTTTGACACAGGTTCGGTGCGTTCTAGAACACTTGGTTTCCATGTCGCTTCTGCCTTCATCCATGCACCTTAGCTCGATGACGTCACAGCGATTGTAACGAGAACGTTCAGAAACGACCGTTCCCAGGACTCCCCAGAGCCGCAGGGTGCAGAGCTGCCTTCCAGGACAGACCCGAAGTCCTCCTGGCACCATGGCCATTATCGCCCTGGAGAGCAAGGGGACACTGACTCAGAGGAGCCGCCGTGCCCAGAGCCCAGTGGTCCCCCTCAGTGGCCTGGGGAGCCGACAGAGAGCTTCCCTCCAGTGACGAGCAAACCAGCGGCCTGGCGGGTTGCGAACTTGTACCGGATGCGGAAATCATCTCTTCCTTCCCGAAGCTTCGGTGCTGAGAAGCTAACGATCCCGGATCTGAATTCACAGCCGGCGATTGTGTGCTGTAGCTGAGCGCTGTCCTGTCCAGGTGGGGGCGCCGGCTGCCTGCTGAGGGCGCTGCGCAGGAGGTGGGGTTGCTGGCAGGCACTGACCAGGGAGGTCCTTGGGGACACTCTGGCTGAAGATGGCCAAAAACGGGCATCCTAGCAGGCAGCGTCTCGGGGGAGAATCTTGCACACTGAGGGGAAAACCATCTGAAAATCACTCTGTGATTCCGTTTATAGCCTGTTCTTGAACCAAAAAATTCCAGGGATGGAAAACACATTAGTGGTCCGCAGGGTTTAGGGATGGGGGGAGGGAGTGGTGGCCGGGAAAGGCGGCCCTCAGGAGTCGGGGCAGGGGTGGCCACGGAGAGCCACGTGCATACACACAGATTCACGATTAAGAGGCGGCTGAAATCGGGTCAGCTCTGTACGCTGTACCAGTCCGTTTCCTGGTTTTGAACCTGTGCCGTCATTGTGCCAGTTTCGCTCGTTAGGGGAGACTGGGTGAAAGGTACACAAGACCTCTCGGCGGCTGCTTTGCAACTTCCTGTAAGCCTATAATTACTTCACAGTAAAGTTGCTTTGTTGAATTGCCTTTCTAAACTCACCAGTCCTGAGCGTTGGGCCCCTAGTTCAGGATCACGGACCATGAGAGAGGAAGGAATTCATGACTGTATTTAGTATTTATTTGAAAGGCAAGGAGACTGACAGAGATCTTGCATCCACTGGTTCACTCCCCAAATGCCTGCAACAGCCAGACCTGGGCCAGGCCTGGGCCAGGAGCCAGGAACTCAACCTGGCTTTCCCATATGGGTGGCAGGGACCCAAGTCCTTGAGCCACCCATCACCTGCAGAGTGTTAGGGTGCACATCAGCGGGAAGCTGGAATCCGAGGTGGCGTCAGGACCCAGACCCAGGTACTCTGATAGGTGCTGCCGCATCCCGAGTGGTGTCTCACCTGCTGCACCAGATGGCTGCACAGCCGTTCCTCTCTAGTTGAAGAGGGTTTTAATAGACACAGGCACGCACATACGTAGACAGGGCTGCTAGAGGCACTGATTGATCCCACTAGTGTTTGAAGTATTTAAATATCAAGTATCCATTTTAATATCAAGTATCCATTACATTTAATATCAAGTATTTTAATATCAAGTATCCATTCCTGTTTCTCTGGCCATTCTTAGAGTTCAGTGTTTTGCAGGGCTGGGTGTGTTTGTGTGTTTGTTTTTAAAGATTTACTCATTTTGAAAGGCAGAGTTTATAAAGGCAGAGAGAGAAAGAGAAAAAGATCTTCCATCCACTGGTTCACCCGCCAAGTAGCCGCAACAGCCAAGGCTGAGCCAGACTGGTTCTAGGAGCCAGGCACTCCATCCAGGTCCCCCACGTGAGTGGCAGGGGCCCAAGCCTTTGGGCCATCTTCCGCTGCTTCAGCAGGGAGCTAGATCGGAAATGGAGTAGCCAGGACTCAAACCAGTGCTCCGGTATGAGATGCAGGCACCCCAAGGGAAGGCTTAACCCACTGGGCCACAACACGGACCCCGTGCTCAGAGCTCTGTGGGGACTTGTGCCTTTTGGCTGATGCATTTGATCTCTAAGTCTTCCATCAGCGTTTCCATGTGGAGAGCCACAGCCCGGCGAGCACTGAACCTTCTGAATAACTCTCCATCCGGAAGGATCCATCTCCCTGTTTTTCTTCATAATAATTGGGGATTACTTTGTTTAGAGCTAGGTTATAGAAAATGGCTGTGAAATCGTATAGCCATAGTGTTGTTTTGCTGCATGTGTGTAAGCTGTATTCATTGATTTCAACAAAATTATACGAATTATGTAGAAGCGTGTGTGCGAGTGTATATGGGTGGGTGGTTGTCACGCGGGAACACACGTTTTCTGCAGGAACGCGTGTGCTGTCTGGATGTGGTGAGTTCGGCATCACTGAAACGGGTTTCTGTGGGTAAAGGCGCAGGTGAGGCGGCCTCACGGCCCCGTTCGCCCAGTGCACGGTGGGGAGTCCTCCCTGTGGTGTGTGGGTGAGGCAGGAGGTGGAGGCAGACCCGAAGCCGGCGCAGGAGAGGACTGCCACATACCAGAGCCATGGCCACCCGGCACTCACTCGGGGGCCGCAGGGGGGCCGGGAAGCTCGCTGGGTGGTTCCTCTGGAAGGGTGGTGACGGTCGGTCCCATGGGAAGGCCACAGTGGCCCTCCCGTGCCGGGGCCTTGCTGCTTCCCAGCCTGTGTTCAGACCTTCTCTCTGTGTTTCCCAGAGGCCCAAACGATCGCATCTGCCATGCAGATGTGAGATAGTTTCACTTCTCTAAAAAGTGCACGGAGGCAAAAACACCCTACGCGGCAGGGTCCTGAGTTTCTGTTCCTCACCGCGGCCCAGGACGGCCCCACTCCCATCTGTATGGAAGCGCTGGCGGGGCCCAGCCGCTATAAATAAGCCCCTGATTGCGCCAGGAAGGCTGGGCTTCCTCATTCTCTTCGAGCGGGATCTGTGACAGCCTCTGCCCGGAGCATCGGCGTCCGGGGTCCTTTCATCTCCCAGGCATCCGGGACACGTGCCATCTGGAGGTTCTGGAAGTCTTCCCATTGCAGCGGGGTCACGGGACAAGCCGTGCTGGCTCATCTCTAAAACACAGACAGGGTCCTCCCCCTCTGTGACCGCGCGCTCGTTCGTATTTCCATAGGAATTTGAATAGGATCCCTTCCGAGGACCAAGCAGGAATCTTTCCATTTCTGCCAGAAGACGCAGCTGCTGGGCGTGGCATTCAAGGTGCCCGAGGAAGCGCAGACGCCCAGCCCACAGAGCCGCAGGCACCCGGACCTCTGGCACCCTTCAGCCTCAGGCCCCAGGCAGCCTTCACTTCTCAGACTGGCAGCCAGGAATACGTTAGGGGTGCCAGACGGGAGACCTGCAAACTACAGCAAATAAATCCGTGGCAGTGGCTAAGAATCAAGGCAGAGATCAGTAGCGTGGACCAGGGCTACCCAGAGCGGGCTGTGGCCCGGGAACTCTGAGTTCCAGTCCACAAGACAGGGAGCAGGCCTAGGACGCTCCTGCGCTGTATCGCGAGGCCTGCGGTTGTAGGGGACATTCTTTCTCCTTTCAGACCTTCTCTCGGAAGGAGGGAGGGAGCTCCCGAGCTCTCGACCTCATTGCAGACAGCTTTGCATCGCTCTGAACTGTGCGGTCCTCAAACAGTCCCCGGTTGCCTATATTTTGGAGGAAAAGCCACAAACCAATAGGGAAGGGAAGATTTAGTCAATAAATTGGGTTTGGAAAGTTAACCTATAGTAGTTTTTTTGTTTGTTAAAGATTGATTGAGTGAGTGATTGATTTGAAAGGCAGAGCATTAGAGAGAGAAATCGATCTGGTTCCTCCCCAAATGAGCACAAGAGCAAAGTCTGGATGAAGGCAAAGCCAGGAGCCTGGACCTCCATCCGGGTCTCCCACGGGGGTGCAGGGGCCCAAGCACTTGGGCCATCCTCCACTGCCTTCCCAGGTGCATTAGCAAGGAGCTGGAACAGAAGCCCAGTAGCCAGGACTCAAACCCACACTCCAATATGGGATGCTGGGCATTGAAGGTGGTGGCTTAAGCCACTGTGCCACAACGCAGCCCCCAACCTGTAGTTTTTTAAGTAATTTTTTTCTCAGAACTTACACAAAATGCATTACTGATAGATTCAAAAGTCAAATGGGGAAATAAATGAAACCTTAAAAAGAAACCATAAGACAATCTTGATCTCAAACTACAGAAAAACTTTGTTTACAGCTATCTTTTCAAATTACCTAAGTAATAAGTGCTCCTTGTACAAAATCTAGAAAACATAAAAAAAAAAAGTCACCCATATCTGGGGCTGGTGCTGTGGCAGAGCAGGTAAAGCCACCACCTGCAGTGCCAGCATCCCATATGGGCAGTGGTTCGAGTCCTGGCGGCTCCTCTTCTGATCCAGCTCTCTGCTATGGCCTAGGAAAGCAGTAGAAGATGGCCCAAGTCCTGGGGCCCCTGCACTCATGTGGGAGACCTGGAAGAAGCTCCTGGCTCCTGGCTTCAGATTGGCCCAGCTCTGGCCATTGCGGCCAGTTGGGGAGTGAACCATCGGATGGAAGACCTCTCTCTCTCTCTCTCTCTCTCCCTCTCTCTCTCTCTGCCTCAGCCTCTATGTAAATAAATAAATAAATAAATAAATAAATAAATCACCCACGCAGCAGCCACTGTTTGTCCCAGCACATACCGCAGAGCAGCGTGCCCAGGCAGCCTTATGGTTCTGTGTGCCAATTGCAAAAAAGGGGGGTGGGGTAGAGAGAGTTCTAAGGAGGGCAAGGTAAGTGGGTGCACCTGGCAGGCTGCAGAGCCACGGTGACTCCCCATAGCTGCCTCAGCCACCTCCGAGCCAGGCTGCCTGGGGCCGAGAGCTTCCCGTCCTACTCTAACAAGCCCCACGCCCCACGCCCACCCTTCTGTGCTCAGTGACCTGACCCTTCTGCGCCTTGGTGTTGCAGGCCTGGCGCTGGTGCCAACGAAGCTCTGTGCCCACTATGCCTGGGACACGGACGTGCTGCTCCAGGCGTGGCCAGCCGTGGACCCACAGTTCCTGCAGCAGCCTGACGTCGTGCAGATGGTGGTCCTGGTGAGTGTCTGCCCTCGGCCCCAGCACGGGGTGGCTGGCCCCTGTCCTGCCTGCGGCCCCCAAGCCTGGCCTTCAGCCAGACCTTCCAGCACCGAGGGTGGCCTGAAACCTGGCCTTCCTGGCCCATGCTGTCAGCTTTGCACGTCACTACACCCCACAGTACATGATCAGAACACCCTGTGGGCCTCGCAGGGCCGGACAAGGGGCAAACTAAACCCACCCTGCCGAGCAGGGCGCAGCTGCCCCCCTCCCACCTGAGGACCCTCCAGCCACCTTTGCAGGATGGGGGTGCGGGGTTGGCTTGGGGGCTGCTGGGTGATAACGTATAGTTCACAATACAGGAACACGTCACTATAATTCATGTTTCAGAAACGCTACATAAGCTTTTTGGTTTTGCTATACTGGATCATTTTAAATACGTAAGAATAGTTTGTACAAACCTTTAACAGAACAGCCAACTCTCCTCTAGTTCATCGGCTGTAATTTTTATACACTTGGTGTGATACGAGGACACTACTTTACCTTGAGCAGCGTGATGAGAAGTAAACATCTCGGTATCCTTGAAGTCCTGCCCTCCATACAGCTGAGAATACCAGCTTGAGACAGACGTTTCCGTCTATGAACGTGGTCATCGTTTCTATTTAACCTGTCACACAGCTGGGCTTAACTAATCGACACAAGAAGTGTAGGTAACCTTTGATATGTAATCCCCAGATTAGAAATGGGGGGGGCTCCTTGCAGGTGCACCCCGCTCAACAGCCCTGGGTCAGGGCACCTTGCTCTCGCCCCCTGGGTCCATCACTTGGTGCCTTGGCAGAAATCAAGGCTGCAAACACAGCTTGGAGTGGCTCGGTGTAGCCCACATTCTCAGTGCCCATGACATCCTGGGCACTGCCACACCCAGGAGTCCAGAGACAAGGCCTTATCTTCTGGGGGCCGAAGGTCTGGACAGCCCGGGTGTTGTTACAAACATGCAGAGTTTCTGTGGCCTGAAAGTTACAGTGCGAGAGCTTGGCTGTCGGACATCCTGGATCTGAGTCTGCTTTTATGAAACACTGGACTACGAAGCCTAGGTTCCTTCATTTACAAGCTGGAGGCAAACACAGTTGATGAGAGAACTGGAAGTGCCCAGCCTGCTTCTGGACACACCCGTGGAGAAACCACTAACACGTTGTGCACGCCTTACCGAGGGCCAGGCACTGGCCTGGAACTGAATGGAGCTGCTCCGCACAGCCGCCCTGCCAGGCGGACCCGTCCTTGCCCCACGTCACAGACGAGGCTGACGTGGGGCTAACCTCCTTTCATTGACAAGGAAACGGTAGCAGCCCAGGGCTTCCTGTCTCACTGAAGCCCACACAGCTAGTCCAGGATTCCAGAATGTGCCCAGTAATGTAGCCGCCGCTAGTGTCAGCCTTGCCACTTGTAGCTGTTAGGGGATTGAGATGGGGCCTTGGCTTTGAGAGGGGAGCAGTGTTTTCCCAGTGGGGACAGGAGCGGGGGATGAGGGGTGCCAGAGACACCGCAGCTCTGAGCCCCAGGCAGGGCAGCACAGGAGAGAAGGCTGGAGGAGGTGAGAGCCCCCGCGCCAAGGCCAGACTCATCCCCAGGAGGAGTGGAGCTGGCAGGGGTCCGAGCAGGGAGCCGGAGGTACATCTGGTTATCCTGGCCCTGCCACGTGCTGAGGGCTTGGGCCAGTGACTTCACCCCAGATGCCTCAGCTTCCGCATTAGTCAGAAGGCCTGGGAGGGTCGTGCCTCTGACTCACAGGTTCAGGCCTGCAAGCTGCCTGCCACAGAGCTGGGCCCGGAGCTCGGCACACAGGAGCCCTCAGTACCAGGGCCATCGCAAGGCCAGCCTCTTTGTGGGTCAGGGTGGAGGATGGGGGATGAGAGCAGCCCGCATGGCTGGGACACCTGTCAGACGGCTGTTGGACATGTCTCAGGAAGAAGAGTTAGGTCTGATCCAGGAGGAGGCACGGGCGCCGGGCAGCTTCGTTGCAGCCTCTGAAGTGACCGCAAGTGCCTTGAGGGCCGCGCCCAGGGCTGAGTTCCAGCCTGATTTCTCTGCCCACTTAATTGACACTTCCAGCCAGGGAGAGGGGGACCACGCTGAGACCCACCTGTCCTGCAGGAGCCACCATCGACTAAGGCAGCTGTGGGGTGTCCGAGGGAGCCAGTGCCATGACAGGGTGTCCAGGGCAGTGAGTGGGAAAGCCGCAGCCAGAGGCCACGTGCCTGCTCCCAGAGCCCCAGCTGGCCAGGCTCGAGGGCAGCACAGGCGCTCCCTGGATGTAGAAGCCGGGGTCAGTGTGGTGCGTGGGCCATGCGTTGGCGAGGACACCCCACAGCTGGCTGCATCCTGGCCAGGACTCCTGCAGGGGGAGTAAAGCTCAGGGAGTTGTTCACCCTGAGAGTCAGACCTGAGCCTGCCCCCACCAGAGCAGGTGCTTGCTTGACCCCAGCACCCCCATTTTGGGTGAAGCCCAGAGGAGGCTTCACCCTGGGCTGCTCTTCTAGGAACAGCAAGGAGCCTGGGCATGAGGGCTGCTGGTGACTGCCTGACAGGTGAAGCCGAGATTTCCACATTGCAAGGGGTGTGGGTTTTATGTGATGGGTGTGAGGTCTCCTCCAAGGTCTCAGTCACACCAAGCGTGTGGCCTTAAAAGAAAGCAGTTTGGTTAACATTTGCTTCTTAGTTGTTTATGTACTTATTTGAAAGGCAGAGAGAGGGAGAGGGCTATCTGCCACCCCCTGGCTCATTCCCCAAATGGCCACAGTGGCCAGGCCCCCTACGTGGGGGTGGCAGGGGCCCAAGCACTCGCAGCATCCTCCACTGCAGATAGGAGCTTCCAGCGGCTCGGAAAAGCAGCGGCCAGTGGGCCGGTTCTGCACACAGCGCGGCCTGGCTTCACGGCTTCAGGCGCTGTAAATACGAGTTTCAGGACACAGCTTTCTCCTACTCATCTCCCGCCTGGTGCTCTGGGCTAATGGAAAAACAAGAAAAATGCCAGTGTGCTGGCATACTGGGGTAAGCCACTGCTTGCCAATGGCAGCGTCCCTAATGAGAGATGCCAGTTTGAGTCCCTGCTGCTCTGCTTCTGATCCAGCTCCTTGCTAATGCACCTGGGAAGGCAGCGGCAGATGGCCCAAGTTGTTGGGGCCCTGCACCCACGTGGAGACCAGGATGGAGTTCCTGGTTCCTGGCTTCAGCCTGGTTCAGATCTAGCTGTTGCAGCCATTTGGGGAGTGAACCAGCAGATAGAAGATTTCTGTTGCTGTGCCTTCCAAATAAAAAAAAAAAAAGAATTTTTTTAATCCCACTAAGCTCTACAAAAATCTAAGGAAGTGATGCAGGTGAGTAGGGGACATCTGATGCTGCCCTTGGTTGCTATTCCTAGTAACTACATAATACAGTGACTCTGTTTCCCAAGTGAAAAACCAGAGCATGAGTGAAACTGTGTGCAGATTTGGAGCCATGAGACCAAGGATTTGCAAGCAGGGTTGTTCAGAAGTTCCATGAGCCACGTGGTCATTTTCCCAGATAAGAGGGAAGCTGACGTTCAACGTTTGTCCTCACCCAACTGGTATTCAGTGAATACCCACCGATGTCTAAAGCTTAGTGATCCATCTTCAGCAGAAGAGTTGATAATGTGACAACATCTGGGTCAGTTTCTAGAGTGTCACCCTTGAGTGCCCCCTTCTGGGCCATTCAGCAGGCAGGCAAACTGCATTCCCCAGAGGTTGACCCAGTTGAGAGGTAAACTCTGAGGGCACTGCCCAAACTTACTCAATCCCCAGTGATAATTACTCGTCTGTTGCTGTGGATTCGTTATGAGAGGAGGGGCACAGTGGGGGCAAGAGGTGCGGAGTCAGGACACAGACCCCGGGAGTCAGGTGAAAGCCGGCCAGAGGAGAGCAGCCCGCAGTTGCTACAACAGCTTATATAGCCAAGGCAGCCAATCCAGTCAAGGGGCGGTCTATGCCCTAACCAATCACAGCCTGTTGCCAGGCAGGCTCCATTGCCTGGTGTGTTTCAAAGCCATTCCTGAGTAACCGATGCTAACTTGCCAGCAGCCATCTTGGCAGGGCCTTGTTATTCCACCACACCCGTCTCCCCCTGGAGATGGCCCAGGCCACCTCGTGGTAAGGATGTCTGTCCTCATTTCCTCAACAGCTGTTTGAGAGTGGTGTTCAGGAATCACAAGGTAGTACTCACTCCAAGAGTGGACACTCAATTGCATTGTGTGTGTGTGTGTGTGTGTGTGTGTGTCCAGGCTTCAGGCACTGCTCCTGTCTGTCTAGTTTCATTACCCACTCCTTGGAAGCAGGGTGCCTCTCCCTATTGCCTTCCCCAAATGCAGCGGTTCCCTTGGCAGCAGTGGGTACTGGTGGTGGGCTGCTGGCCACTCGGAAGAGTAACTCACTGTGTTGCCTTCTCTCCCTCTCAGATCAACAACAAAGCCTGCGGCAAAGTCCCTGTGCCCCAGCAAGTGGCCCAGGACCAGGACAAAGTCCGTGAACTTGTTCTCCAAAGTGAGCTGGGTGCCAGGCTCCTGCAGGGGCGAAGCATCAAGAAGGCCTTCCTCTCCCCCAGGACTGCTCTCATCAGCTTCCTGGTGCAAGAGTGACGGCGGGGGCTACGGCTACCACAGGGGCTTCAGCAGCCGCCTTCCCAGCCTGGGAAGGGGGAAGGATTCTGCTGGCCTAGGGGAGGGAAGAGACCACAGTATTCAAGACAGCTGGGCAGGGGCAGGAAGGAGAGAAGAGAAGCAAACAGGAAGCACAGTGCCCCTCCAGCCCTGCTTGGGAGCGTGAGGTTACGCTGAGAACCCAGGCAGGCTCAGGAGCGGTGCACCAGTCACCAAGCCTCCGGTGCAGCGGGAGCGGCTCCTGGCCTCAGGCTGGATGAGAGAGCCAGTGGGCATGCGTTCAACCGTCCACATGTGGGGTCGGACACTGGATCTTCAGAAGCTGCTCAGAACCCACAAGCCAGAGGAGCCGCTCCCTCTGCGTGTGTCCCTACATGGGCTCCCGGCACCGTTCCCTGTGAGATGTGCCCACCAGGCCTGACACGATGCCGACAGAGGAGCGTGGAGCACTACTTCAGAACGGGAAGGAGCAGCGTCGTAGCCGCCTCCTGGGTGTGACACGTGCTGGCGGCAGGCTGCCAGTCCCCAGTCCCAGAGCCCCAGCACAGCCCCACACGGAGGCGAGCCCAGACGGCCCATGTGGGCCCCAGACGGCAGTGACACCATCATGGACGCAGCTCCCAGAGACAGTCGTGAAGAAAGCGGAATTGACCAGAGCGGGGCGGGTGCCACCCAGACGGCGCCTCCTGCGTCCCAGCCGCTGTGGTGTGGCTGCGGCGGAGACAGCCTGGGGCGGACCCACGTCAGCCGTGTACCGGGCTAGTCCTGGGCTTCTGTCAAGTCAGCAGACCGGGGAAGGGAGGGAGAAGCCAGCCGCTTTGTGATGCTAAAAACCTTTGTTCCTGCAACAGCCTCAGATGGGGTCCCCGCGGCCCAGCACGTAACAGATGACTTGAGAGCAGTCAGTGTTGATCACCTGTGACGCTGGGCCCCGTGTGTGATCTGGAATAAAGGCGTTCAGGAGCAGCCGGAGGTATTCCATCATCGCAGACGCGCTGGCTGTGTGCCAGGCTCCTGTGGCGCACATGGCCCTCGCTCCGGAGCTTCCTCCATGCTAGCCGGCAGTGGTTGAGCCGTACCAGCGATGAGTTCAGTGGTTCCCAGACTTGGCTCAAACGTTCTGTGTGTGGTCCCCACACCCAGAAATTCGAATGTAATTGGTCTGGCATGTGGCTTGGGCATCAGGGAATCTTGGGAACTCCACAGGGGGGGCCAGTGTTGTGGTGCAGTGGGTGAAGCTGCCACTCAGGACACTGGCATCCCATATCAGAGGCCACTTCAAAGCCCAGCTGTAGCTCCCTGCTGACGCGCTGGGAGGGCAGCAAGGGTGGCCCAGATGCTTGGGTCCCTGCTACCCGTGGCCGAGGCTCAGGTGGAATTCTTGAATCCTGGCTCCAGCCTAGCCCAGACCTGGCCGTTGTGGCCATTTAGGGGTAAACCAGCAGATGGAAGATCTCTTCCTCATTCTGTCACTCTTTCAAATAAAGAAACAAATCTTTTAAGAAAAAAATCTCCACAGGTAATTCTAGGGGCAGCAAAGTCTGAGAGCCACTGGGTTAACTGATGTATTTGACTATTTCTATGATTTCTGTCTAGTCCTTTCTCCATAATCTTCACACCTGGAGTAAGTTTTGTCCAGGACCAACACATGACAAAAGGGAAGGCAGAGGCCAGAATCCCAGAGCAGTATTTCAGTCTTTAATGAGCACCATCCCACTGCATGGAGTAGCGGATGTGGATGAAATAAACGAACGTGAGGACGTGTGGTACAAGGAGGGAGGACCGTTTCTGCATGATTGTCTTGCTTTGTCCTAGGGGAAGCTGACAGGTCTTGAACAAGAGGATAGGTCAGCCCAGAGAAGTAGGCCAGTAAAGCCTCAGGGCTGCTGGACTGACCAGCTGGCTGATCCCAGTATGACTTGGAAGAGTGTTTTTGCCAAGAGGATAAAACTTCTAATAAAACAGAGCAGTTGGAGAGAAAACTGATCATTCCTTTGGGGTGGAGAGCAGTCTCTGTCGCTGCTTTAACTAAGCTCATCAAACTGGGCTCAGTGGGTTCACCTGTTTATCTCATTTTAATGTCCATGAAACTCGAGAGGGTACAAATTACTCTCTCACGAATGTGAAGAAACCCGAGCTCTGGGGCCGCTGTTGCGCACAGTGAGCTGTTGCTTGCAATGCCAGCATTCCCTATCAGAGCGCCTGGCCCAGTCCCGGCTGCTCCAATTTCGATCCAGCTCCCTGCTAATGCACCTGGGAAAGCAGCCGCAGATGGCCCAAGTGCTTGGACCCACAGGGAACTCTGGGCTCCTGGCTTCAACCTGGCGCAGCCCCAGCAGTTGCAGACATTTGGGGAGTGGCCCAGCAGATCGAAGATCTTCTCTCCCTATCACTCTGCCTTTCAAATAAATATATAAATCTTTATAAATAGAAAAAAGCTCACACTCTGAGGTTCAGTAATGTGCTCACAGTGCACGGGCGGAAGAGCTGGGATGCAGATTCACATCTGGTAGCCTCCGCGTGGGCTCCCTGCCTTGTCGGCAGCACTCAGTCTGGCAGGGTCCCCTCCTGGGAGTCTGCACGCTGCATGCGGGAAATCCCAGCAGCAGTGCCCACCCTGCAGGGGTGGGAGATGAAGTGAGGCCAAGAGAGCCTGGTTCTGTAGGGCTGGGTGAAACCTGCAGCCCATCCAGCGGAAGACCCAGCCTGGAGGGCAGCTGTCTGGCTTCTGTCTATCGAGGAAACGACAGAAGAAAGTTTGTGCGCAAGCGAAGTGTTGCCCCACAGCAAATGCTACCCCAGAAGTAGCCAGCTGTCTGACAAATGAAATTGTCCGCTGGCTGTAAAACAGAGGCACCCTTCATCCCCACCTAATTACCTTCAAGGAACTGGTTAAGAAAAATAGGGTGCATCCATCAACGGAAGGAGAGGTAGCCAGCAAGAGAGTCTGTAGGGGACAGCACTGCGGCACATCGGGTTAGGCCGCTGCCTTTGGAGCCAGCATCCCATGTGGATGCCAGTGCATGTCCTGGCTGCTCTGCTTCTGACCCAGCTCCCTGCTAATGCACCTGGGAAAGCAGCAGAGGATGGCCCGACTACCTGGGCCCCTGCACCCACATGGGAGACCCAGAGGAAGTTCCATGCTGCTGGCACGAGCCTGGCACAGTCCTGGCCATTGTGCTATTTGGGGAGTGAACCAGCAGGTGGAAGATCTCTCTGTCACTCTGCCTTTCAAATAAATAAATCTTCTAAAAAATTTTTATTTATAATGAAAGTTTTTAAAAAATATGTTAACTTGGAAATTTTCTGACAAATACAGTAAGATATACATATAATATAATCCTAGCCATAATTCATTTTTTAAGAGATTTATTTATTTATTTGAAAAGCAGAGTTACAGAGAGGCAGCGAGAGAAAGAGAGAGAGGTCTTCCATCCACTGGTTCACTCCCCAGATGGCTACAATGGCTGGAGTTGTGCCAATCCTAAGCCAGGAGCCAGGAGCTTCTTCCAGGTCTCCCATGCTAGTGCGGGGGCCGAAGGACTTGGGCCATAGCAGAGAGCTGGCTCGGAAGTGGAGCAGCTGGGACTTGTACTTTAATAATAGGGAAAACACCAGTTTTGTGAAGACCCCCAGGCACTTAGAACCTGTTCCTGGTTTTTCTTTCTTCTCCCTGCTGGGGGATCCAGCTGCCTACAGTGGGCCCGTTAAGCAAACACGCATGTCCTGTGTGAAGTGGAATCCAAAGACAACACAGCAGTCCCATGAAGTTAAGTTTTACACAGTTGCTCAGTCTGGCCAGCTGCAGGAAGCTCCTCCTCTTCTCGTGGCCTTTGCGTCTTGCAGCCCTGAAGACAGAACAGAAGGCAACGTTCCCGTCGTGTGCTCACCTACGCTAGATGCAAGGTGGTGGACAGAGCAAGCAGGAAGACACAGTCGCTGTGGCTGCTTGCGACCAGGCAGTAAGTGACCCCCAATCTGGGCTCACCCCACTGACAGCATGCCCCCCACCCCCAGGCAAAATTCAGCTCAGGAGGTAAATCCTAAGGGGTGGGCCCCGCCATACCCTACAGTCGAGAACAGGCAGAGCTAACAGAGCAGAGCTTGGTCTTCCCTTGCTTCCCGTGTGAAAAGCAAGGGGGAAACAGCTGTTTTGTGGGCGGGGGCTCTGCCTGACTCCCGGGGTGGGCGGCTAAAGGCTCTCATCCAAGCTGAGTTTGCAGAATGGAATCCGCGGAGACCAACCGTGAGCAAGCGGAATCCCCTCTGGGCTGCTGAGTGGGTGGTCTGGCGGGGCAGCTGGGGAGAGGGCAGTCCAGTGGGCAGAGGCCTCAGATGCAAGGGTGCGGCCAGTTGGCCTCCCGAAGCGCTGCCCTCACTCAGGGCCTCCATCCCTAGGTGCCCACGGGAGCGGGGAGGGCAGGTGGTGGCCAGGCCTGCTGGGACCCAGCACTGCCCGTCTCATCTTCCTGTGCCTGGAGCCCTGCACTTGAATTCCAGTGGTTGTGCGGCCCCTGGAAGCGCATGTCTGAGCCAGACACTGTGGGGTGACGTCCCTCACTGGAGGAATGACTGTGCCAGCGCCTGGTCGCAGTGCCCTAGCACATACAGGGCCCTGCCCACGACCACACAGGGGAGACCTTCCGCGCAGAGCAGCCCTCGGGCCTCCTGGGCGTCCCAGGACTGTCCTGGTTTCCGGCTTCCCTCCTGCTGTCCTCAAGACCACACTTGTCACCGCACATGCACAACTGGTGGACACAGGCCACCCAATGCACGGGGACCAGGGGCCAGGGCTGGGCGCTCTGAGCCTGGCACGGAGCCGGCAAGAAGTCGGCTCGGCTCGGCTCCACATACTGCCAGCTAAGCGCGTGCAGGCTGGGAGGCGGGCAGACTGCTGGCACGGTGAGGGCGGGAGGGGTCCCCTTCCAAAGACCTCCAGGTCCGCCCATAAAAGCTCTTGAGAGGCGAGACCGCGACCTGGCGATCAAGGGCAGGGAGTGACCGCTCCGCGACCAGAGAGGGTGTTGCAGCAGCGCCCACCAGCATACGGAGGCTGCCCCAGCCCCTCCTCCGCAGGGGGTGACAGGGAGGGAGGCGGCCACCCCGCCGTCGCCCACTCCCAGGCCCTCACAGGCGCCCCTTCAGCCCTTCCGTCCGAGGGCTCCGAGACTGTGCCTCTGCCCCGCCCGCTCGGCCCCGATCCCCCGTCTCGCCTGGGCCCTTTCCGCCCAATGCTCGCTCCCCGCCACCCCTCCGCCCGGTCCCCCGCCCCTGGGCGCCCCGCTCGGCCCCTTTCCCCTCAGCGCCCAGGCCGCGGTACCTTGAGTGTCACGTCGCACAGCTTGCCCTGCCGCCGGATCTCCTCCATGACGCCGTAGCCGCGGCTGGGCAACTCGGAGACTGAGAAGTGCACCAGGTCCTCCAGCTCCTCCGCGCCGTCCTCCACCATCTTCCCCCGCCGCCGCAAGCAGCGGCCCCGCAGTTTGCAAGCCGACGGGCGCGCGGAGCTGTAAACGGGGGGGCCTGCGCGGCCGCCGTAGTCGCAACTCCTCTTCGCCGGAAGCCCCGCCGTCCCGCTTCCTGGTTCATCCACTGCCTTCGTGCCCCGACTACATCGACCTTGACTTCGCTTATGCAGCTGCCGCAGTCTTTCGAGGTTAACTGGCCTCACCTCCCGTCTCCCGGATAGTATCTAGCCCTAATCTCACCCGAATCCTCGACGGAGGACCGCGGACTTGCTTTCCGTCACCACCCGGTACTTCCGGAGTCCCCGGAAGCGCCCCGTTGCCATGGCGACCGCGTACAGCCTGGCGGCTGCACCTGGGGCGTTCAGGTCTGGCGCGGAGCTTTGGTCTCTGCGTTTGCAGAATTTACAGTGCTGGAGCGCGGCGACCTCGCAGGCTGTGAGCAGGGGCCGCGCCTGGGTGGTGAGGGTGCACAGAGGGAGACGGCGGCCACCGCTGGGCTGCGAACACGGCTCTCCGGGAGCTCCCGGCTGGAGTCGCGCGGCGGCGGAGGCGGCGTCGCGGGGCCCCTCTCAGCCTGGCCGCGTTTGGAGGTCTAAGGAGCTAGCATCTGCGGGTCCCACCGCGGTCGCGCGTCGCGCCCGAGTCAGGCCGTCTGGTCTCTGGGGTTTCGGGCGCGGTGGGAGAGGCTCGGGACCACAGTCCGAGTCCTGCGCCCTTACAGGTGTGAGGAGCCGCCGCGGAGAGAAGCGGGAATGGGCCCAAGGGCCCCGCCGCCCAGGCTCCACAGGGGCCCGGCACGTTGGGTGAGAAAGGAGAAAGGCGGTTGTGCCGCGGCCCCAGTTCTGCGTTCAGCCCAAGGCCAGGTGCAGCGGGACCCTGTGTTCTGGCTTCAGGTGCTGCTGCTGTCGTCGTTGTCAGGGTTCCCCAGGAGGGCCCCTGGTCTGAGCAGGACGATGGCAGATGGGGACGCACCCTGTGCCTCCCGTCCTTCCAGGCAGGGCTGCTTAGTGCAGTGAGGAGGCCGCGAGCCTCTCAAAACCAGGTTTCCTGATGGCCGCGCGGACTCCCTTTGTTACGCCAGAAATTTCCGAGGTTGGTGCCCAGAAGAAAGGGCGTTCCCACAGCTCCGAGGGAGAAAGAAGGGCTGAGCAGGCTTCCTGTACCTGGAAAACCGGTGTCCACCTGGCAGGGCTGTCGGCCGTGGGTTGGAGGTGGTGTGGAAGGGAGCGAGGTTACATGCCCCTTGGGACCGTCAGTAGTGGCCAAAGATGGAGCCACATATGGACATTTGCCCAGCATTTCTTGAGCACCTGCTCCGTGCTGGGCGTTGTTCTGGGGAGGAAGGGCACAGTTGTAGTCCCCATGCAGGTTGTAATTTAATTTGGGAGCTGAAACTCACCAGATGAAGCCAAGGATGAGCTGGCGAGCAGCGCTGAGTGCAGGATGGCCCGGGCTTCCCGGTGTCTGTGTGGCAGCCTCACAGGAGGGCACGGCTCATCGGCAGGCTTGTTGCAGGTGGGTGTGGCTCCTGGCCGGCTTGGAGCTTTGGCGTGAGCATGAGGAGGGCCTTGAGAAGCCCAGAGGGTGACTGCAAGTGCAGGTGCGTGTTAGCAAGTTGCAGGAAGAGAAGAACCAGGTACTGAGGGGAGGGCGATGCCAGGAGCTCGCCTGTGCCACCCTTGTGCTGTTGGTGGTGAGGGCTTCAGGGAAAGAGGACTGAGCTCCTACTCCCAAAACGACATTGCTTCATGGTCCCTTTTCTCATGGCACCTTGAGAGGCAGAGAGACAGACAGAGATCTTCATCCACTGGTTCACTCACCAGATGCCTACCACTGCCTGGCTAAACCCAAACCAGGAGCTCAGGATACAGTCCAGGTCTCCCAAGTGGATGGGAGGGAGTCACAGCCATCACAGCTGTCCTGGGGTGCCCATCAGCCAGGAGGAGGGGCAGCTCCGGTATGGGTTGTGGGCTACCCAAACAGCAGCTTAACCAACTGCCTATCCCAGCAACCCCTCTTGTAGCATCCCTGCTTGGCTCTGCCTGATTGTTAGCCTTAAGATGGGCTTTTGCATCATGGGACATCTCTAGGAAGTAGAAAAGTCGTTTACCCAGGGGCCAGCGTCATAGCATAGCAAGTTAAGCCACTGCCAACATCCCACATCGGGGCGATGGTTTGATTCCTGGCTGCCCCACTTCCAATCCAGCTTCCTGTTGGTGAGCCTAGGAAAGCAACAGATGATGGCCCAAGGGCATGGGCCCCTGCCACCCACGTAGGAAACCTGGATGGAGTTTCAGGTTCCAGGCTTCTACCTGGCCCTGCCCAACTGTTTGGACCATTTGGGGAGTGAACCAGTGGATGGAAGAGCTCTCTCTTTCTCTACCTCTCCCTCCCTCAGTCTGTCACTCTGCCTTTCAAATAAATAAGAGTAAATCTTTCTTGAAAATTTATTTCTGTAAATTTACCTGCCCATCATTTATTTTTATAAGCTGTCATTCTATCCCATGAAGCCACCTCAGACGTTGATTTTAGCATGTTATTTCACTTGTGCACAGGTAGATATTAGTGGTAGTGTAACTGGGAAAGACAGCTGCATTTGTGGCTAACAAAGGAAATGATGCAGCCACGGTAAAGGGTTGGACGTGTGGGCTGTATTTTTCTGTCACTGGAGTGAGACGAGAGCGTGTTCAGTTATGGACTAGGTTGAAAATACTTTGAAGGCTTCGATTTCTGATCCAGTCTAGTGCAGGTAGGAGAGGTGGTTCTGCATTGGAAGTGAACTACGGTAATGAAGAAAAGAAACTTAGTTCCACGGATGTGATAGAATTGTAAGAGAAATTACAATGAAGTGAAGCATTAATGGACTAAGAGGCAGTCCATTAAGAGGCCTGTTCTAGGAACAACTTCTAAGGTTAAGCCACTAAGGGAAGTTCCTTTTGTTCTGTTACTTTGGTCTGCTGAGGTCACCGGTAACACAGGGTGAGGCAGCCTGTGATGCAGGAAGTACAGTACCTGTACGGCGCCCTTTCTCATCTTCATGGTGTTTTCATGGTGACCACTGAAAATGTCATTGTTCTCTCTAGCTATTATGGATACCAAGAAAAAAGTTCATGCGTACGTCCGTGTCAAACCCACTGATGACTTTGCTCACGAAATGATCACCTTTGGAGACGATGGCAAGGTGAGTGCTGCCTGTTTGCCTCCACCTGCCTGGGCCTCTCCCCGTCCCACCTCCACAGTGGGACCTTGTTTCCAAATAGTCGCTAAGGAGGCCGGCGCCGCGGCTCACTAGGCTAATCCTCCACCTTGCGGCACCAGCACACCGGGTTCTAGTCCCGGTCGGGGCGCCGGATTCTGTCCCGGTTGCCCCTCTTCCAGGCCAGCTCTCTGCTGTGGCCAGGGAGTGCAGTGGAGGATGGCCCGAGTGCTTGGGCCCTGCACCCCATGGGAGACCAGGAGAAGCACCTGGCTCCTGCCATCAGATCAGCGCGGTGCGCCGGCCGCGGCGGCCATTGGAAGGTGAACCAATGGCAAAGGAAGACCTTTCTCTCTCTCTCTCTCACTGTCCACTCTGCCTGTCAATAAATAAATAAATAAGTAAAAATAAAACAAATAGTCACTAAGGACGGAGACAGAATTGGTGAGAAGTTCAGATGGACCCCGGAGTCCATCTGGTCCAAACCACTCCCTCACGATGCTGTTAATGAGGTTATACATAAGGCCCCCATCTTTCATTTTCCTTTTTTTTTTTTTTTCTTTTATGACAGGCAGAGTGGACAGTGAGAGAGAGAGAGACAGAGAGAAAGGTCTTCTTTTTCCGTTGGTTCAACCCCCAATGGCCGCCATGGCCGGCGCACTGCGGCCGGCGCACTGTGCTGATCCGATTGCAGGAGCCAGGTGCTTATCCTGGTCTCCCACGGGGTGCAGGGCCCAAGCACTTGGACCATCCTCCACTGCACTCCCGGGCCATAGCAGAGAGCTGGCCTGGGAGAGGGGCAACTGGGACAGAATCCGGCGCCCCAACCGGGACTAGAACCCGGTGTGTCGGTGCCGCAAGCAGAGGATTAGCCTAGTGAGCCGTGGTGCCGGCCTTCATTGTCTTTTAATGAGTTAATGAATTTGCCTTCATACTTGTATCTGACACAGGAAAACTGACATGCTCATAAGACTTTCTGGTGATCAGACCTGTCATTATATAATCTCCCTGGGGGTATATAAGGGTGTCTGAAGTTGGTTACTGTGCAGCTTACCAAAGCAGAGGTGGAAACTCTCATCATGAGAATTGGGAAGACTTGTCCAGCCTTGTACCCTCCCCCGCTGTCCTGAGCACCCTTAGACACCATGAGTGTTAGATGCTTTCATGCAGCCAACACAGGGGCCAGCCATGGCCAGCATTGAGTCGTCATTTAAAGGCAGAATTTAAGGGCACACTTCTCACACCTGCCTTTCCTGGTCGTCGTGTTGCTCTGCGTGGCCAGGGCTCCTGGGTTAGAGCAGCCAGTGTAAGATTTCAGCACGAGTCTCTATGTCAGAACCTTGCAGTATTCCAGGAACTGAGCTTCCCCGGTGCGTCCCCCAGCCAGCTGCTGGTGCTCTGGCCGTCAGGGAGCGTGCATCCCAGTGTCCACTGATCACAAGCAGGTTTAACACCAGTGAGTGCGCGCGTCCGGGAGGACCAGAGCCTTTTCCGCAGCTGCCATTCCCGCGTTGCTCTCCCTGGCTGGGCCCTCGCGCATGTGTGGAAGTAGGTGTTCGCCACAGTCAGAGCTCAGGGAGGCCGCACACTGCTAGCCAGAGAGGTGAGGCCTGTGCCCACTCCTCTTCCCTGCTCAGTCACCTCCTGTCCTCAGAGAATGCATCAGACTCGTATTTGATAGGAATGTGATGGCTTTGCTTGTTCCGTGTAATGGGGGGGGGGGGTCGAGACAGATGGGATCCTGTGAACGAGGGTGGGTGCTCCAGGCTCCTGGTCGTCCACCGTCGGGCCGTGCGGCCTTCCTG